GCGCACCAGGGGGCCTCCGCGCATACTCGAAGGTAAGAGGGGGAGGGCGAGGACGTGGACGACGACGACCACCACCACCACGCTTGGGTTGACGCTGGTTATGGTGGTAACGATAGTGACGGTGGTCGTGGTGATTTGACGACGGCGACGACTATAATGATGATGCTGTTGATGATGTTGTTGATGATGATGAGGATGGTGATGATGATGATGGTGCTAGTTACGACAGAGACTGTGATGATGATGGCGATGATGATGTTGATGATGATGGTGGTGGTGATGGCGATGGCGATGGTGATGATGACGACGACGAGGGTGATGATGACGATGATCATGACGACGACGGCGGTGATGATGATGCCGATGACGATGCTTATGATGATGATGATGGCGATGATGATGATGACGATGATGATGATGATGATGATGATGATGATGATGATGGTGGTGGTGCTGCTGATGCTGATTATCATGCTTCGTACTTTTATGTTTTACTGCTGCTACTACTCCTTCTATGGCTACAGCTATTATTATTATTACTACTACTACTACTATTACTACTACTACTACTACTACGACTACTACCACTACCACCCCATACTACTACTATTCCTCCTCCTCCTCCTCCTACTACTACTACTACTAGTACTACTACTACTACTACTACTACTACTACTACTACTACTACTACTACTACTACTACTACTACTACTACGTACTACTACTTACTACTTCCTACTTACGACTTACTACTACTGCTACTACTACCACTGCTACTACTACTACCGCTACTACTACGACTTCTACTACTAGTACTACTACGACTACTACTATTACTACTACTACTACTACTACTACTACTACTACTGCTGCTACTACTACTACTACTACTACTACTACTACTACGTACTACTACTTACTACTTACTACTTACGACTTACTACTACTGCTACTACTACTACTGCTACTACTACTACCGCTACTACTACGACTACTACTACTAGTACTACTACGACTACTACTATTACTACTACTACTACTACTACTACTACTACTACTACTACTACTACTACTACTACTACTACTACTACTGCTACTATTCATATTACTACTATTACTACTTTTACTACTACTACTACTACTACTACTACTACTACTACTACTACGACTACGACTACGACTACGACGACTACTACTACTACTACTACTACTACGGCTAATACTACTCCCACTACTACTACGACTACTTAGGCGTAACGAAACCTGCTTTGGAAACACGGAAGACCTCCAGACGACACAGACAGGATGCCTGGGCGGGCCGATGGCCCCAAGATGGTTCCACGACGGCCTCAGACGGGCACGAAGATGACCCCAGGGCGACCCCAAGAAGACCCCGTCGTATCCAGACGCAGCGTCGAAATGGCCGGTGGGCGAATCAAAAATGGCCCAAGATGTGAGCGATGCCCCGGAGACCAGACGCGGTGGCCCCAGAGCGACCCCGAGGTGGTCAGAGCATTCCCAGAGTACAAAGTTCAACGCATCCTGCCCCTCAACCCCATCGGGGCCGTCGCCAAGAGGGCTGCAACGTAGGCGAGCACGCAATGCCATCGGGCCCAATTCAGAAAATTCAAGGAACTTTCGGAGCGGCGATGTATTACTATTACTACTACTACTACTACTACTACTACTACTACTACTACTACTACTACTACTACTACTACTACTACTACTACTACTACTACTACTTACTGCTGACTACTACTACTACTACTACTACTACTACTACTACTACTACTACTACTACTATACACTACTACTACGGCTACGACTACTACTACTAACTACACTACTACCACTACTACTACTACTACTACTACTACTACTACTACTACTACTACTACTACTACTACTACTACTACTACGACTACTACTACTACTACTACTACTACTAGTACTACTGCTACGACTACTACTACTACTACTATTACTACTACTGCTACTACTACTACTACTACTTCTACTACTACTGTTGCTACTACTACTACTACTACTACTACTACTACTACTACTAGTACTAGTACTAGTACTAGTACTAGTACGACTACTACAATTACTACCACTACTTCTATTACTACTATTTCTTCTACTACTACTATTACTACTACTACCGTTAGTACTAGGGCCACACTTGACCTATGGACTGGGAGGTTTGGGCTTGGGTTTAGGTTTGGGTTTGGGCGGGCGGGCTCCCGATTGGAATTCAGTTGGAAGCCTTCCTATGGGAATTCCATAGGAACTCCGCTTTAAAGGCCTCGTAAGAATGGAATTTTGACATGCAGTACGATTTAAAGGCGGATTCTAAATCGGAATTCAATATGCTACCTTCGTAGCAAAATCCACAAGGAAGTCAACGAATTCCTTGGGAATTTATTTGAAACGACAGGAGCCGGAGGTAGGCGAAGTGTGAAATACACCAATCCCGAACAAGGTCTCCATACAGTGATATCGAAGGCCCAGCCAAAGTACCGGCCACAAAGGCGCGGGGACTATTGCTAAGCCTTGCTGAGCCTTGCACAGTCCCGCGAAGCCCTGCGAGGCACTGCTGCAGTCTGCTAAGCCCTGCTAAGTCCTGCTGTCGCCCTTGGTAAGCATTGACAAACCCTGATAAGCCGTCGTAGGCTTTGGTAAGTCCTGGTGAGGTTTTGCAAGCCCTGCTAAGCCCTGCTGAATGATGCTAAATCCTGCTGACTTCTGCTGAGTTCTGCTAAGCTCCCCCCCAATCCTTCGCCTGATATCGCCTGACTAGCATCATCAACCCCATCGTCGCCATCGCCGCGGTCATCCTCATCTCTTTGCTCACCATGCTCCAGGAGGCCCCCAGGACTGCCCGTGACCGGTGAGAACCCCAATGGCTCACCCAAGAGGGCCCCGGCTGGCCCTAATAAACATATTACGTTGGGCACATGTATCTTTAACAAACCGAGGCCTTCCCGCTTTGGCAGGCGTCAAAGATGGCCCTGCAGATTGTGATGACGGCTCAAAGACGGCCCAGGAGGCTGTCGAAATGCCTCACGAAGCCCCCAGGAAATCTCGGAGACGGCCCCAAGGGCCCTCCAGACGGCCCCACAAGCTCCCAGCGCCCCTTCTGAGGCTCTCAGAAGCCTCTCGGCAGCTCCCAGGGGCGTCTCGGAAGCTCTCAGAAGCCTCCCAGGAATTCCCCGAGGACTTTTCTGGGACGCCTAAACAATGCCCAGAGGCCTCGCGGGAGCTCTCTGAGGCCTCTCGGACGCGCGCAAGTCTTCCGGGAGCTCTCTGAGGTCGCATCCGGAGCTCTCCGAAGCCGATCGGACGTTCTCAGAAGCATTTCGGGGGCTCTCAGGAGCCTCTCGGGAACTACCAGAAGCTTTTCGGACGCTCTCAGAGGAGTCTCGGAACATTTCAGAGGTCTCTCGGACGCTCTCAGAAGCCTCTCGGGCAATCTCAGAGGCCTCTCGGGAGCTTTCACAGATCTCTCGGAGATCTCTCCGGACGTCTCAGATACTTCTTCGGAAGCTCACAAAAGCCCCTTCTGGAGCTCCCAGGCCCTCTCGAGCGCTGCCAGGGCTTCTCGGTAATTTTCAGAGACGTCTGGGAAGCTTTCAGAGGTTTCTCGGGGTGTCTCAACAGCCTTCCGGGAGCTCTGAGAAACTTTCTTAGAAAGTCTCAGGGCCTCTGGGAGGCTCGTAGAGGCTTTTCGGAAACTCTCAGTGGCCTTGCGGCAGCCGTCATAGGTCTTTCGGAAACGTTTAGAGGCTTTTCGGAAGCCCTCGCACGTTTTCAGAGGCCCTTCGGAAGCTCTCAGAAATCTTTAGGACATGTTCAGGATTCAACGAATTGTGGGGAGTCTCCTGGATCTCACAGGCGCTCCGGATTATTTAGGGTTTCTTTGGAATTCCTTCGGAGTCCTCATGATGTCTCAGGATTCCTCAGGAGTCTTGGGTCTTGCCGCGACGAATCGGAATCCGAACGGCCCCGCCGGGAATCGCGAAAAAATCCGCGGGAACCCAAAGAGCGCCTTGAGGGCTCCGACGCGTTTCCGGGGTTCAGCATGACGAACGCGAGAGGTTACCGAAGGAATCCTTTGAAAATCGTCGCGCGCATGTGAATCCGACCATCAACCAATCTTGAGTTACTCATAGTTAGTATTCGGCTTCCATATACCAGTCTTGGCGGCCTAAAAAAGAACGGCCGTAGATCGTCAGGGCGACGCCGGCCATAAAAGAAGGGTGGCCCTACTACCACTACTACTACTACTACTACTACTACTACTACTACTACTACTACTACTACTACTACTACTACTACTACTACGATTACGACTACGACTACGACTACGACTACTACTGCTGCTGCTGCTGCTGCTGCTACTACTACTACTACTACTACTACTACTACTACTACTACTACTACTACTACTATTACTACGACGACTACGACTACTACTACTACTGCTACTACTACTACTACTACTACTACTACTACTACCACTACTACGATTACTACGACTACTGTTACTACTACTACTACTTTTACTACTACTACTACGACTACTACTACTGCCACTAGTACTAGTACTACGGTTTTCATAATTATTCATACTACTATGACTACTACGATTGCCGCGACTACTACTACTACTACTACTACTACTATTTCTACGACTACCACCACTATTACTACGACTATTACTACTACGACTACTACTACTACTACTACTACTACTATCACTATTACTACTACCACTACTACTACTACTATCATTATTACCACTACTACTATACTCACCACTGCTATTACTATTACTACTACTACTACTACTACTGCTACTACTACTACAAACTACTAGTACTACTACTATTACTACTACCACTACTATAACGACGACGACGACGACGCCGACGACTACTACTACTACTACTGTCATTACTACTACTACTACTACTACTACTACTACTACTACT